GTAAGTATACTTGAAAATTTATTTTGCAAAATTACAATATTCTTACAATTATACATGCTTCATTATTTTCAATGGATGCAATTTTATATAAAATTTCTTACTTTTTGTGCAATAAAAAAAGGGTTGCAAGGATTTTGTTTTTCAAATGTAAAGTGAGCTAATTACACGGCAACAACAACGTTTATAACAAAAATATAAATGCATTTTGAAGGATAATTGCTTATAAAAGGGGGTTAAAAAAGGAAAAGGATTTGAAGGTTTTTTTATTTTAAAGTAAAATTGTTTAAATCTTTGTTTATTTTGTAATAAGAAGATTTTTTTTAAGAAATTCTGTTAAACAATTTTTGATAATTATTATAAAATTATAGGTAAAGTTATTTTGAAGAACTTTTAATCCAATTTTTATTATCTAGTTCAAAGGTCCTCACAGCAGTTACAACGTTTTCTTTAACTTAAATGAGATTTCTTTGTGGAAAATTTCACCTTGAAAAGTTATACAAATAGTTTTCTAAAAGCTTTTATAAAAAGAAAATAGGTATTTCATATAATAAAGCTTTTTTAGAAAGTTAAGCATTTATTGAAAAAAGTTCTTTGCAAAAGGAAAAAAAGCGGAGAATTATTAAAAATTTAAAAGTTATTAAGAAGCTTTTTTAAAATAAAAAGCTATAAAATAAAGCTTTCATTGAAAAAACTCTTTTTGAAATTATAAAGCTTTGTCTGAGCACTGAGCTTACAAATTATTGTGGAATAAAAGTTTTAATTATTATTGTTCAAAATGTAAACTTAAGAATAAAAAAGCTTTTATACAATTAATCTATTTACCTGTTTTTAAACAATAAAGTTTTTAAGAAAATATTATTTTAATAAAAAGTTCTAATTAAAAGACATCTTTTGTAAAGCTTTTTTGAAAATAGAGCTTTTGGAAATAATTAAAAAAAGTTATTTGCCAAAGTACTTATAAAGCTTATTGATACCTTGAAGTTTTTAAGAAAATATTATTATTTACCAAAGCTTTTATTTAATTAAGCTCCTTAAAAAGCTTATTTGAAAATAGAACTTTCGAAAATTATTGGAAAAAAGCTCTTTGCCAAAGTATAAAGCTTATTTCTTTCACAGAGCTTTAATATAAACTTAAAAATAAAAAAATCTTTTACACATTTATTCTATTTACCAGTTTATAAAGAGCTTTTTCAGAAATTATGGAAATATTTTTTTAAGAAAAATTTTTTGTTGGAAAAAAAAAGCTCTTAGAAATTATATACATAGCTTAAACACCAAAGAGCTTTTGAAATAAAAAAAATCAATGAAGTATTTGAGAAAATTTTATTTTTAAACAAAGCTTTTATTAAAAAAAGCTCTTTTGAATGTAAAATCTTTGAAAATAATTGCCAAAGTATAAAGTTTATTGATACCACAGAGCTTTAATGCAAAGTTAGTTCTAAAAAAGCTTTTACGTTTTTAATCTACTTAGCAGTTTGTAAAAAGCTTTTTTATAAAATAAAGCTTTTTTTTAAGAAAAAGCTTTTATTGGAAGAAAAAGCTTTTTAAATAAAAAAAAAAATAAAAAAATTTTTGGTGAATAAAAGTTTTCACTTTTTAATAAAAATTTAAAGTATGTTTGTAAATTTAAGAACATAAAACATTTATAAAAAGCTTTTGTAAAAAAAGATTTATGCTGTTTGTAAAGTTTTTCAATAATAAGTGAAAGCTTTTATATCTTTTACAGAAAATAATGAAATCAAAGTATTTTTATGGTTTATGAAAAGCTTTTTCACAAAAAAAGAGTTTTAATAGGAAAAAAATTTAAACGAGCTTTTTAATAAATTAAAGCTTTTTCTTATATTCAAGTTTTTAAAAGTTATTAGTTTAAAAAAATACGTTTTTCTACAAAATATTTGGAAAATAAAAGAAAGCTTTCACATATTTAAGCTATTCTGTAGGAAGATATAATTATAATAGATAAGAAAAGCTTTTTTGAAAAAAGCTTTTTTTGCTAAAAAATTAAAAATTTTAAAGCCCATTATCTCAACCTTATCATTAACCAGTAAATATTCTTCTGATACAAAAATGTTTGTATAAAAATCAAAAAGCTTTTATAAAAACCATTGCTTTCATTAAGCGTTCATTGTGTTTTCAAGGATAATCACTTCTTTAAAAAAAAGCACAAAACCACTTTCAAATTCCAATGGAAAAATCTTTGTGTTATTAAAAACTCCAAAAAAAACTATTCTAATTCCAAGATGCAACAAAAATTCTGTTATAGAATTTCCAAGATAACAAAACCAAAAACAAAACTTCATTTAACACTGAAGTTTTAAATGGAGTTTTTATAATTTTTGGTACTTGCGCAGCAGTCACATCCACAAAAAAAAAAATCCTGTTGAAAACTTCCTTACACACATACAAACAAATTATAATTTTTTCTTGTCTACACTTTTCATAACAAACTTTTAAATAGAAGGACTAAATGCAAAAGTAAAGGGTGTTTGCAAATAGAAAAAGGACTAAAGAACTATTTTTGAAACTTTGCTTTGTTTCTTATAAAATTTTATTAATATTATATTAACGCCCTTAACGTATAGTTATGAATGCTATTGCTAAGTTGTTGATATTTATTTAATCTTTTAATAACGCCCTTGTGTCCTTTATATTTGTGCTAAATTTATTTATGCGTTTTTGTATGATTTCAGGCGTTAAAAGAAAACGAAAACAATAAACTTATTTTAATGAAATATTATTTATTTAACCGGAAGCTAAAATGTGGCAAAATCTGTTCTTTTTTTTTTTTTTTTTGCTGAGAGGCTTTGAGGACATCAGTTTCAAGTATTCTCTGTAGTGTATTTAAGTTTATGGACTTTGAAAGTGTTGAATAGCATATAAAAGCTTTAAGGGTTATAGTGAAAGTTAAAAGAGGCTAAGATTTTAGTTTGTTTAAATACTTGATATATTGAATATTATAATGATTTCTAAAGTGAGACTAAATGATTTAAAAAGTGAAGCTTTTAAGGTTTTGAAACTGTTATGCTTAAAAGTTTGGAAATTTAGAAGAGATAAGTTTTACATGCTTCAATTTGCTTAAGAAAGCTTTTATCCTAAAGCGTCTTCATTAAATAATTATGAAAACTAAATATTGTCAAATAAACTTTAATGTAAAAAAGCTCTAAAAAGAAAAAGCTTTAACAATTTATTGCACAAACGGTTTTTTTTAAAGAAATTAAAAGCTTAATAAAAAAATAAAACTAACATTATTGTTAAGAATCGAATGTAAAAAAGCTTTTTAAGAGCAAAGTTATATTGTTATATGATATCTAAAAAGTGAAGCTTTCAAGGTTTCTAAGAGAAAATGATTTTTATTAGGAAAAAGTTTTCAGTATTTATAATGTTTCTTGTAAAAAGCTTTAAAGGTGAATTATGTATTACTGTTTGTTTCCTCCGAAAAGTGAAGCTTTTAAGATTTTTAAATATGTATTAAACTTTTTAAGAGGAAAGTGCTTTTATTTGGAAAAAGCTTACAGTATTTATAATGTTTCTTGTAATTCGCTTTAAAGATAAATTATTTATTATTGTCTGTTTCCTCTAAAAGCTTTCTTAATTTTTATTATATTTTAAACTAAATATTAAAAGTATTTTTGTAAAAAGCTTTCTGCGTTGACATTATCTGCAAAAAGTTTTTGTTATTTAAAAGCTTTTCGAAAAACGTTTATTAATTACAGTCTGTTTGGAAAAAGCTTTATATAGTTTAAAGGAGATTTAGATTAAAAAAAGCTTTTAATTTAAAAAATAATTGTAAAAATACATTGAATATTAAAACACTTATTTGATTTCTTAAAAAGCTTTTATTTTTATTGCTAAAAGTTAAAATTTTTTGAAAGAATTTAAATATTCAGAAGTTTTTTTGTGAAAAAAAGCTTTAAGTTTTATAAAGCTTAAAAAAAGGCTTTTACTATAAAAGGATTTTTGAGTTAAGCTTTACCTATGAAAAAGCTTCTTGTAAAAAGCTTTATATATTAAAAAATATTGTTTAAACAAAACTTTAAACAATTTTTATGAAAAATCTTTTAATATTATAAATCTTTTATGAAAAAAGCTTTTTTTAAAAAAATTTTAAATGTATTCCTAAGCTTTTAAAAAAAGCTATAAATATTTAAAAGCTTTTATGAAAAAAGCTTTAAATATTCAAAAGCTTTTATAAAAAAGCTTTAAATAAAAAAAAGCTTTTATGAAAAAAAAAAACTTTAAATATTCAAAAGTTTTTATAAAAGAAGCTTTAAATATTCAAAAGTTTTTTGTGAAAAAAGCTTTAAGTTTTATAAAGCATTTTAAAGAAAAGCTTTTACTATAAAAGGATTTTTGAGTTAAACTTTACCTATAAAAAAGCTTCTTGTAAAAAGCTTTATATATTAAAAAAAAAATTTAAAGAATTTAAAACAGCTTTTATGAAAAATCTTTAAATATTATAAATCTTTTATGAAAAAAGCTTTAAGTATTATAAATCTTTTTATAGAAAAGCTTTCACTATAATTTTTTTTTAATTAAGCTTTACCTATAAAAAACTTTTTGTAATAAAGCTTTAAATATTATAATATCTATGTTAAACAAAACTTTAAACAGCTTTTTGTGAAAAATTTTAAAATATAAAAACTTTAAAAAGCGTTTTTAAATTTAAAGTACGAAATTCAAATGATAGGAAAGCTTTGTTGCAAATATAAAGGAATCCGGTAAAATTTAGGATTTTTCTCTTTAAATTTAGTTTTTCATAACTGTTTCCGAATTATTTCCTTGTAAAACCCAATATATTCATCTTATTCCATTATAAATAATACATATTTAAATATTTAATACATTGACTTTGATTAGTTGTTTTTATATGAAAATTTTGATGTTTATTACATTTCCTGATGGTATAATATTTAATAAAAATGTCTATCATTCCCTAACAGAATATTATTTATAACCCAACCTGAAATGAAATCTTAAAACAAAAACAAGGAACGGCTGAA